CTCCGATGTCGGATTTATCGAGATAATCTCGGCACGACAACGGATAGCACTCCGATTTTATTGGTTCAGCACGATCACGGAAAGCCGTATCCGAACAGAACCTCGTCGAAGAAAAGGACACGTCGAAAAGTCTTCGCCACGCGTAATAGAGACTATCGTTTCTTGCCTCTGACGGTAACGTAATCCGTAGGTCTTTCATCGAAACAGAGATCGGAGAACCGAAGGTGTACGTCACAGTGGAACATCCAGGAATAAAAACGAGACGGTCGATTAATCTCCATGGTGTCTAATCTTAGTTTACTCTTTCTACTTAACTTGATATTTGACCTCATACAAATGGACGTTTCGGTTCGACGACAATGGAACGCAAAACTGTTTCGGGCGAATTTCTCGCGGACTTTTTCGCTGGATCGACATCCACGGGGGGGGGGGGGATCTTCGTGAACCGTGTCGATTTCCGCAATGAAAATAAATCCAACCGGGCGTACGCCGTACGCACTGAAACGCTTACGGCACCGTTCATTCGCTGGCGTTCATTCGCAATCATTTTGCCGGAGACCGATAATCGTCGATAATCAAACAAACAACCGCCGACCAATCAAGTCGAATTATAAACTCCCGTAACAGCTAGAGGCGGTAATTTCACGATACTGTTAGGCATATCCCGTTCGAATCCCATGGTCTTCGCATCGGTCGCCTAATCGACGTCTGACTCGATCTTTTTTCGCTATCCTCTCCCCTTAATGGTCTTTTTTCTGCTCCTGAAGGGGGACAGAGAGGTGAGATGGTACGGGTTTCGCGTATACACGAGAGAATAACGTTCGATCATCCTCGCCGCTTTCCATCGTTCGGCAATTAACTTTTTGCCCGGTGAAAGTATCCTCCCAACGCGTGATTTTCCAGAAATCCCCGGTCTATAAAGAGCATTCGGCCGGCAGGCGTGCAGTTTCCACAATTTTCACCCTGTGGCTCGTCGTCACGATGTCCAGATGACTCAGACGTCAGCGCGCCAGCAGAGGCTGCTGCACCTGCGTGCCTTCGAGCCAGTAGCAATTACGTGGAACACAAAACACGAGAACAAAGAAGATTCGTCTGGCTAATTAATCATCGTAGAAACTCATCAAAGATTCGCAAGAACTGCAATTACCATCGCTGTGAAACTCTGTTTAGAGGGGGTGGGTCAGATATGACGGATGTTGGAGATTCCCAGTCGAACCGTTCATCCTGAACGACAAATTGCAGAGGCGTCACACGACGCCTAGGTTGATATCCGGCACGGGCCCCAGGATGAGTCCGAAAGGGCCCAGCCAAGAGGGCCCGAAAATGGAGGTGAGGGTGTCCTGCGTGGCTGGGCCGGGCGCGGAACCTCAGGGGATCAGGGTGAGGATCCCCGAGCCGAAGAAACGACCGATGAGCCCGCCCCTTCTCGAGACGATCCGGCCCAGGTGTCCGTCGTCGGTGTCCGAGAAGGAGTACTACAGGAAAACCGCGTCTCTGGATCGTCGGGACAGGTACCCCACGTTGTCCGGCGCCGAGATCAAAAGAGGACTGATCCCAGGCGCTGTCGAGGCTCCACGGGGGAAACGGAACCCTATGCTCGATCGGAAAAATCGTTTTCCAACGATCTCCGGCGCGGAATTGAAACGGGGTCTCGCTATCGGCAAGTGTCCCCTGGAGGAAGGTCTGGATCTCAGCTTGGCGCCATGGCCTGGTATGAAATGGGCCTGCGTGAGGGTGTTGCACCTGTACTGTAAGGTGTTCGGCCAGTTCGAGTTGTTCGAGCTGATTGTTAGGTAATTTATGATAGTTTCACGAAGCTGCGTTTTTCAGGGAGATTTTTGGTAAGATCAGGTTTTATTGGGTCGACGAAGTCACAAGATATTTTATTCCAGAAGGGGAGACATCGCGATGACATTTATACGAGGGACATTGTACCCTTCGATCGCTTCTGGCACGTTTTAATATTTGCCCTGCTAAGACACGTGACATTGTGGTTGATAGATCGCTCCCAGGGAAGTGTCGGAAGCCTGTCGTCTTCGCGGGGACCTCTAATCAACCAAGGCGAGGTGTTTACTCGATATAAGAACGCGACCAATTAAAATTCTAAAGGTCCATTAGCGTCACGGGGGCGTCGTGCAAATATAATTAACCGTCGTTAGCGCGTGGGCTCGGTGTCGCACAACCGATAGCCTCCAGTCGTCCATTTCAAGCGCGCGGAAAGTAATTAGAAAGTCGGAACGGGGCCGATCGTTCCGTGGATTGTTACCGATGCCAGTCTTCCGGGTCCCGAGATTTCACGCCGAGGGGGTTTATCCCGGTCCGGTGGAACGTCGTTAAACGCTTGGAAGCGTGTCGGACAATCCATTGATGCAGAGAGGGTTCTGGTGGTAAATCGAATTACGGTCGTTTAACGAGCCAACGAGTCGTTTACTTCGGCCCGTGATCGGGGTGACCAACGACACGACACGGTCGCAATTACACACTCCGCGACTGACGGACGATTACTGGGACACTTTTACTTCTACCGTCGCGGATATTTTCTTTTCTCGCGGCAGCGTCCCATTAATATAAGTCAGGAGCGCTGGCGGATAGCAGCAGTCTGGCTCGATTTTTTTCTTTACGTCTTTTATTCACGGATTCCGCTCGAACGACGCCGCTTACAAGAGCGTTTACACGCGTGTACCACCCATCGTGTAACGCCGGGACAAATCGCCTCGGTTTATATATCGTCCGGTGGAATTAATTACGAGGGCACAGGTCTCGCAATAAAGACACAAATAGGCGGGCATGACGGCCAACCGAGACCTCGTAAATTATTTAGATAAATTTTTACGACTGTACTCTTCTCTCGCCGTGATTTCTCTCCGTCGTCCCTCATCCGGACAGTTTGAACCGTTTCGTTCCGACTAGACGATTACATTCGTCGCGAAAGACGCGCCAATATATTCGCGCGCGTTACAGATCGGTTATTCGTCGGGAGTTACGCGAGGGAGGACGCCCGAAAGTTGAATTCGGGGACAGAGTTTCGGAAGAACTTCAGCTCCACCCTTCCGATTCCTTTCGATATTGCTGGCCATTTATTCGGGACCCCCGGAGCACTTCGTTCCAGGAGAACACGAGGAGACGCCGTTCGAAGAGAAACACTCGCCTTGAAAAGCCAGTTACTTTTTATGCGAAGAAGCCACTAGAGATTTGAAGGGCGTAGAGACAGGGGAAGGCTGGTGAATATACGCGTGATTTCCCGTCGTTGTGTACGATCCCCACGCGCCACGGGAGCGTGTAATTCCTTTGTAGTCGAAGGCGGTACCCCGATAGGTAACGTGTCTATATCTGGTCGATTGCACGAGAAAGAGCATTCGCCGCGTGAAAGTCGCATGCTGCCCTCGCACGCTAATGGCCGGATCGAACGTCAATCGCATAAATGAAGGGGATGCATTTGCCGTGGTGGCATTCATCGCGGTCGGCCCTACCTACCGCACCCTTCCGGATGTCAGCAGTGAAGGTCGTCGCGGCACTAACACGGACACACACGAGGACCTCCCTTTCCTTCCTTTCTGCATTCGTCGTCTATCGATAATAGGACGATAAGGGGTCACAGATAAGTCGCGCCACTGAGGAGACCCTTATCTCGCCGATGGAGGAGACGAACGGGGGTGGAAAAAAATACGGGCACCAAAATAGAGGACTTTGTTCCGGTAGAGGGCTTCTCCGCGATTCGCTCGTAAATTCACGAAATCCGATTTACGGGGAGAAGTTGAAGGAACGGGGAAGGAAGAGTTTAGTGAAGATCGAGGTGCTCGTTAAATTTAACAGTACCCGCGGACGCATTAACGGGCCGCCATAAAATCGGGCTTCGAAGAAGCGAGCGATATATCGTGAAAGGGGAAGTGTTCGCGTCGCAATTTGACGCCTTAAGATCCGTTGTAGTGAATACGAAGTTCAGTGATTCGAGTGATATTCGAAATCGTCGTGGTTTCGCGAGTCGTCGATCTTGAAAACGGGGAATACTCGTGGAACGGAGATTTTTTACAATGGAATAAACCAACGGCACCCTTTCGGAAATTATCCCTCCGGGGCTGGAGCGAATCGGTTACCATAATGTCACGTCCGTAATGTCAGAGGAACGGTCACCTTGTTTGCCAGCGGACTGTAAACTCGCGGCCAGCGAAGAGCTTTTGAGCGATAAAGAATTCCCGCGCTTCTCCTTTTTGCGTCCTTGTTAAGGCGGGCGATAACGCTGGATCTCTCTTTCTGTCCCTCGTTCGTTGGACGTCGTCCGCCGATATTTTATGAGGTCCACGAACGCGTCTCTCGCATCCTGCCTTGCTTGGACAGGATGGATGCAAATTAACGTTGACGCCTCGTTAACTCCGTGAACGTGAAAACGTAATACATACGCGTGGACCATAATTCATTCGAATTCACGGTACCAGGGACAAGAGAACCGTTCCTTCTAATTTGGCCAGCACGATATTTTCAAAACGGGCGATGCGATTCGATGAGAAATTTATCGGTCGTGGTTAGCGCGTGGTGGTTGCGTTTTGTCTCGTTTCGACCAGCGTCGAAACGGAAGCGAGCGAAGTTAAATAATAACCGTCGAAAAACGCTTCATCCGCCGAGAAAGACCGTTTCGATGTTTGCATTAATCAGCAGATTAGCGGGGACGTTCGTTCGCCTGCGGCCTGGCTGCAATAAAACTTGATTAGAGGCCTTCTTTTCATCAGGGGACGAGCCGTATCTCGAGTTAATGAAACACCGGGGACAAATATTTATCGTCCGTGATATCCTCCTCGGTCTAATAGATACGTTCAACAAGCTGTTAACGTCCGTTCTGCGCACACGCAGCCACGGCCAAAACACTCGGACTAGACCGAGAGAGAAGGGGTACTAATCCTCTCGGGCGATACCGCGAGGAATCTATATAAAAAGGGAGTTTATGCACTTTGCCCCACACGATCGAACATTTATATGAGTTTCCTTTTTTTTCTTTTTTTTTTCAGAAAGAACTGCACGAGCTGCAAGTGTCCGCGGGAAGCCCACGATGTTTGCCACGTGGAGTGGGCATCGGTCAGGTCTCGTTTGGGCCTCAAAGGCGAGGAATCCTCGTCACCGGTCGGCTTCGATCCACGAGCGAAGGGCCTCGCATGGGCTCCTCCCGGCCTACCAGCACACAAGGTCGGTAATAATTCATTGGTCACGATTCCCGATTCGTTCGACGCCTATGACGTGCAGAGAATCGTTTCCCGTTTCCCCCAATGATGCAAACCTCTTATTTCATTCGATCACCGGAAGATTCAACAAACGAACCGACGGCAAGTTCAACAGTCCGGCCCACGGCTCGGGCGGGATCATCGCGTCTATTGCGTCGATACGATACGAATTGCCGACGGAATCAAAAGACGGTCTAATGAGATATAAAACGATCGTCGAAACGAGCCATTACGCGTTTCACGGCTAAGTAGTCGGAGGTTATACGTGGATGGCGCGTGCACGCACTCACGAATGCACGCTTGGCGCGATTCCAGTTCGCAGTATTTTCCAAAGTCCTCGCGGAATAAATTATCGAGCCCGTGAGGCTGGTCTTTATCACCGCATGGCGGATGCTTTATCGTTCGTGCTTCCAGAGACTACGACCCACTCGGCTTTACGACGCTC